GCCCTGGGACAGACAGGAGGAGGGAGGGGGCCGGCCGGCCCACAGACGTGGAGGAGGGTGGAGGTCTGAAGCTGTATTTTTGGATGTGGGACCTCCTGAATTAAACGAGCGAGTTGGAATAAAGATTTAGTGTGAGCTAAAGGAGGAGGAGGAGGAGGAGGAGGCAGAACAAGGAGAGCGCTGTGCTGAGGGGAGGGGAGGGGGAGGAGGGCTGGACATCCCGGATCCACGCACCCAGACCTGGGGGGAGACAGAGACGGAGGGTCCACTGGATCAGGAAGGTAAGAGCTTTAATGAGATGAATCAGTTCTTCTTCTGTGTCTGAAATTAAATGAAATCTGGAGAAAAAGATGAAACTTGATGTTTTTTAGGTAAAAACTGAATGAAAGGATTCAGACTGAAAGACTGAAGAACAAATCTGACTTTTAACGTTGGACAGAATTATTTTCCTCCTAGTTTCTGAATAAATTTAAACTGAGTTTAGTTTTTCCAACACGTCCTGCTGGAGTGACCTGGTTCAGCCTGTTGGACCTCAGGTTGGTCCTCAGATTGGACTTTAGTTTGGACCTCACAATGGACCTGAGGTTGGACCTCAAGTTTTACTTTATGTTGGTCTTCAGATTGGACTTTAGGTTGGACCTCACATTTGTCCTCAGGTTGGACCTCACATTGGACCTGGGGGTGGACCTCAGATTGGTTTTTAGATTGGGCCTCATATTCGTCCTCAGGTTGGATGTTCAGTGGACTTTAGGTTGGACCTCAGTTTTTAATTTATGTTTGTGATTAGATTGGTTGTCCTATTGGACTTCAGGTTGGTCCACAAATTGGACTTTAGGCTGGACCTCAAATTGTTTCTCTGGTTGGACCTCACTTTGGACTTTAGGTTGGACCTCAGACTGGTCATTAGTTTGGACCTCACTTTGGACTTTAGATTGGATGTCAGACTGAACTTTAGGTTAGTCCTCAGATTGGAATTTAGATTGGTTCTCAGGTTGGACCTCAGATGGATTCTCTGGTTGGACCTCAGATTGATTCTCTGGTTGGTCCTCAGGTTGGACATTATGTTGGACCTCAGATTCATCCTCAGGTTGGACCTCAGAATAGACTTCAGGTTGGACTTTAGGTTAGTCCTCAGATTGGACTTCAGGTTGGACCTCAGATTAGACTTCAGGTTGGACTTTAGGTTAGTCCTCAGATTGGACTTCAGGTTGGACCTCAGATTAGACTTCAGGTTGGACTTTAGGTTAGTCCTCAGATTGGACTTCAGGTTGGACCTCAGATTAGAC